TTTAATGCAGAAGCTTGCAGATCTCTTGAGGTTCGGAGACGGAATGCCTAAACCAATCAAATATTTTCTAAGCCAAGATATATTACATATAAACTCTATGTTTTTATTAGTAGTTCTCCTTTTTCTTACCTTCACTAGGAGGACGATGATGCACACGTTGAATGTAGGGAACAGATTGACGATCACGGGACTATATGGGCACAGGAAGCTCAGACCTAAAAATGTAAAATTTTATTTAAAAGAAGGCAAAGACCCAGGCCGAATAAGTTGAAAGCCGAATAAGTTGAAAGGGTATTGCCTTGGACTCGCCAGCTCTTTTGGGGTTTCGACCCCGTCACAGTTTGTGAGTTTCGTCGATTGAAAACCGAGATTAAACAATCAAATCAAAGTCAAAACAATCAGTCAAAGACTTACAATCAAAGTCAAAACGCTTACGTCAAACCGAAAATGCTTTCAGGGTTTTGCAATGACTCTTTCTGTATTTTATCGCGACGATTGGTGTCACAATTTTTTACAAACAACAGTCGATTCTCCCGGAAAGTCATTTGCTGAAACAAGGCAAAGGGTGCGTTAAAAATGAAATATTAGGTTGGAAAGGTCAAAGTGAAAATTTCTTTTGTATTTTTCTAAAAAAATCAAACCACACATTTATTCAGGGTAATTGCCATTAATATCTATGATTCGTTGCCATTTATTAGGTAGAGCTCGAATCCTCTTCTCCCAGAAATTCTTGGGCTGCACATCAAAGAAGTCGCGGAGCCAATTTTCGACTTCGATGCGATCTTCGAACTGCTCTCCATCGAGTTCTGCAGCCAGCTTTCGGAAAAGATGAAAGTCAAAGGGGGCAAGGTCAGGGCTATACGGGGCAGAACTTCCCAGCGCAGCTCCTTCAAATTTTGTTGAGTCAGATTTGCAACATGAGGTCTTGCATTGTCATGCAAGAGAAGGACCTTTCCATGATTTCTTGTGATTTGTTTTCTGATCTGGTCCAGCTGTTCCGAGTACAGGGAAGCAGTGACAGTCGTGCCTTTAGGTAGCAACTCCTAATCAACTACTCCGCTCAGATCCCACCAAATGCACAACATGATCTTCTTCTGGTGCAATTCTGACTTGGGCTCAGTTTTCGGTTGCTCGCCAGGACCGATCCACTGCTTGTGTCTCCGATAGTTGATATAAAGTACTCACTTCTCATCACCAGTAATCACGTCTGGAAGAAAGAAATATCTGTTGTAGCGCGAGAGAGTAAATTGTGAGGCGCTGCAATCTCATCACATCTGTGAGTAAATGGGGAAGCCACGAGCCAAGTTTCGAAACAAACTCTATTGAATAGAGATGGGTTATCACTGTTGTATGAGAGGCGTTTAGTTGTTCTCCCAGTGCCCTGGTTGATTGTTTGTTGTCGATCCATAGGAGCTCAGTTAGAGGCGTTTCATTGAAGTCACTCACGCTCCCACCCCTCGCCTCTTCCTCTAGGGAAAAGTCACCTTTCTCGAAACGATGGAACCATTTGTAAGCGGCTGCTAGACTAAGTGAACCTTGCCCATAAACATGATTAATCACCCCATAAGCACGGGTAGCAGTGGAATTTTCCTTGAAGTGAAATAAGAGGACATGCCAAAAATGACCCTTCGCTAGAGTATTGGATACCTTTAAAGAAAGATAAAAATAAAACAGAAAATACCAATATTCCATTTGGGGTTTTTAGTAATCAATAGTTGAAGAGTGGTGTAAACAAACCCCTTTTTATCCGAATGCTTTTGTTGCTGGGGAATACCAATAAGAAGAGAAGAAAAAATTCTCACTTTGACCTTTCCAACCTAATAGATTAAGTTTTTGTTGTTCGAAGAAGTAACATTTCAGAGTGAAACAGCTTTTCGTTTTCGCCTTCTTTGTGCAGCCACTCATCTTGGAATGTCTTCTGTTTATTTTATGCCAAAAGAACGATCTTGAACAAGCGATTCGAGATCAAACAAAGGTTCAACAAAATGGTGTAAACCTTTGAGAAAAACGATACAAATTGTTTTGAAAGGAAATATTCGGTTGAGTACTAATTCTTGATAACACTTCTACGTTTTGATTTTTAGAAATAACTACTGTATTAAATAATCTACGATTTTGTGCAAATGCAAAGGTCTATTGATTTTCTCAAAGTAGCTTTTGAGAGATTTAGAAAAGCCCTGGTTTTAGAGATTTTATGGTGGAAAGAAGTTGAGGGAACGGTGAACGCTCGATAAAGCGATTTGAGCACTTTCTTTCACAGAAACTAAGTTTAACTAAGCTTTGGGAATAGATCTCATATTAGGCTGTCCAGAAAGTCTTTTCGTTCCTTTTCGTACCTCCATTTAAAACCAACAAATACCCGAATTAAACTACGGTTTTTTTCATTAGAAAGGGATTATTTTACTGCAGAATAACATTAAAATTGGGTTTTGAAATGTCTTGTGTTTGGATATTTTTGGTAGCGTGAAGTCGCGTAGTCAAAAATGGCGACGGCTCGATGAAGCAGCTTAGAATATTTTAGCTAAGGAAACCTATCTTCGTGTCAATAGATAAAGTAAAAAAAGTTAAACATAAAGCCGAATTCTCAGCTCGATTTGTCTAATTACTTCAGTTATACGTCGATTTAAAGAATTCTGAATAAAACACGAAACTCTGCACAAATTCGTTTCAAAACGTACCTAAATTTGCTTCAAAAGATTGCAAATTGAACTATAAACAACTTTTATTTGAAGAAGATTTGACTTGTATTGGTGCTTTAATTATTGGGTTGGTGAATTGAAAGCTGCGGGACTTTGAACTAAAATTTATTCAACATAAAACCATAAATTCATTCCATATAATTTCCATTATTATTGACGACTTCTGCCCATTTTACAGGCAACTTGCGGATTCCTCTTTCGTAGTAGGATTTTGCTTTGTGTGTGAGACAAGTGTGAGACTCAAAAATGGAGGACTGGAGATGTCCCAGTTTGAGCACTTTCTTCAAAAGAAACCCATTTTGGTGTCAATTGGAGCGTTGTAGAGAATCAAAAATTAGGCTTATAACCAACCAAAAAATGAATCGGGGTTATCAAAAATGAGTACTCAGCCTAATATTAACGTTTAACGTAAGTGGCGTTGTTTTTCAGTATAACCCTGCAATGATCAACTTCATCAATCATACCGGCTTTTACGCTTTTTCCGCAGAAATCAATGGCGGTATATGTGGCTTGGCCACGCTCTATTTTGCCCTTATTGGAGTGACTGGTCTTGGTGGGTGCTTAGTAAAATGGTGGCTTATTTTTCGAGTACTCAAAACTTCTGTAATCTCATACGAAGAGAAAACGTGGTTGCGACTGTTGTAGATGTTTTTCTGCTCTAATTATCCTGTTTTTTTCTTAGTTTTAATAACATTTTTTAGCGCTGATCCTCCCAACTTATCACAGTCTTCATCAACAGCGACGCTTGATGAGCAAAAAGACACTGCGCTTTCAAAGGCTATGGCTCCGAAATCTCACTATTCAGGTAAGAAAAAGCTTTATTAGTTTACTGCAAGTGTTTTTACTTTTTTCATTGCAGGTGCTCATCTTTATCGGTGTTGTTTTCGTGCCTTTTTGTTGGGAGACGGCAGTTGGCTGGGGATGGCCCGAGTCCGCTCCACTAAGCGGTTCGTCGATTTCAATCTTTGCCGCTTTCTTTCATTGCTATTTTTTTCAGTTTATACAATCTGGACAACAGCCATCGGATGCTCACATTGGACTTTATCAACGGTGGTTCTTCTCTTTGTCTATGATAGCTATCGAAAACGATTGTTTGAGTCGGTGAAAATGGTGATCGGAATTAGGAAGGTGATAAAGTGATCAATGAAATTTTTATAGAAGAGTTTAGAAAGATCAAAGGATTTCTGTCACAGCAACCTCTGTTATGAGTCAGCAGAAGTCGAAGAAATAGCATCACAAAGGATTTTCGTTTAATTTTAGACCTATCCAAACTGCTTGATGATTCAATGAATTTTTTTAATCAAATTTTTGTTTAGCAAAACGAAGATGAACACAAAAACATCAATTTTCACTTTTTTTATGGTACAACTTTGTGATGTTGTTTTTTTTCTTAAAAATTCTTTTCTGATGAACGTTTCTGATGAACTTTGATGAACGTCACATTTGATGTACGCCAACCTAAATTGACTAAACTTACAAACAAAGATTCTATCCATTTTTGAAACATTTTTCCAATTTGAAAGACTAGAATTGGGTGTCCACAAGCGATAAGAAGACTCCGTATGACCAAAAAAGCGCTTGTAAATTTTATGATTGATCAAAAGTCAAAAAGAAGTCAAACGCAAGATAAAACTTCTATGTTAGTGGAAAATGTTCTCAAAAATGAACTCACCCATCAGAAAACCGTAGGCATTCGGCGGAGAGTTGTCCCCGACTTTGTTCAAGTGATAAAACTGAACGGCACCCATTTTTGTCTCGAGAAAGCTCAGAGTTCTTGGGATCGTTCTGGAAATAGACTTGAGACTAACCAGGCAAGTATTTAAAAATTACTAAAAACAAGTTGGCTCAAAAAAAGGCCATTCCTCAGGGCTGAGGACTTACTGGGTCAAACCAAGCCACATCTTTTACGGTCTGATAGCTTTAGGATCTGAGAAAATGTGACCTGGCATCTAACTGAAGAATTTGACTGAATCTGTTTCGAAAATTTTGTTTTGCTCACCGTCTAGCTTGAGTAGAGGAGACCGAATCGAAGACAAAAATGAAAGTATCGGGTCGAGCTCCCCGGAAATTCGACCTCTTCAACCTTCACAGTACTAAAACAGTCATCAAATCGAAGTCTTCATTCCGAGTTGCCTGTGATTCGTTTCGCTTTGATCTGAAGTTGACTCTTGAAAATAAGCATCTTTAAAAATACCTGGTGAAAAGTTGATCAACCTCACAGGAGTCCAGAAATTAAACAGAATGTGGCCACAAAGGCAAACAATTATAAGAATCAAAAATTTCTCTCGCTTCGGCATAGTTTTGCTTTTGAAATTTCCGAAAAGGGGAACGACTTTTTGCTGCCTTTTTGGCAATATAAGCCGCTGGGAAAGGAAGAAGAATTTTTGGAGAAAACGATGAATGCCAGTAAATTTTTTGGTGACTATTCTAGGAGTTTCCCTCACATTTTCACGCCGTTTTTCAACTGATTGGAGTCAAAAAAAAGAAGCACAAAACTTTATTTACAGGTATTAAGAAACTTTAACGAACAAAGCACTGGAGTATTTAGGCTTGAATTGTCAACTCATCGTCATCTCCTTGTATGGGAGCCCACGCCGCGGTCCATTCACGAGGGAGTAGCGCACGCCATTTCACAATCCGATTGTCTTGCTTTCGATACACCAGCCGCTCAACTTTTTGCCGAAAACGGGAACTTGGGTTTGTTTTTACACCTTTTAACAAAGTTAGGTTCTAGATTTTGTACAGAGTTTCTCAAATTTCCATTGCTTTGCTACCTTGAAAGAGAAAATACCTAAATTCATCCCCTAAAGGATTAAAGGCTTGTTTATCATCTAGTATTTCTAGGAATAAACGTGACCCATATCCAACTCAACGAATCATTGCGATGATCGATTCTCGTTTCTCTGCGAATATTTTCGGTGAGAGTTCACAAATCAGCTTCTACTCATCAAATTGGCCAATTACACATTAATAGCTGCTATCTATTTTGTTTTAACTAAATTTACTAAAAATATCTTGTGGAAAGACCCCAAAAATCTTGTCCTTTTTCATTTGTTAGTGAGACTGAGTTACCCAGTAAGTCAATCTAAAGCTTTCCGCAATATTTTGCATAAATATGTACGTACCTACTTTCCGTGCCAATTCTGGTTTTAAATGTTATGCCTTCATCGTTTTCACTGATTATGTTCACTACAGAATTTTCTTCTGTTTTTTGTTTGAAGATTTCTCCTACATGTATATGACATTGTTGACGCCCCTATATGTAAATTTCCCCACTGCACCCAGTAAAGTGCGTTGCACTTGATTAACCATTCAGTTTGGAATCATTTCGGAGGTGCTAGCAAAAGTGCCAAATTATTTGCGTCGCGTATCCTTTGAGGCAAATTTGCGCCTTTCAATGCACTTTCTTACCAACTCTGAATGAATATTTTTGGTTTCTTCTCGTCGACGATCCTCGCTATTTACATCAATAACGCCAATATTTTCCAAATGCAACATTTACAGAAGCAGGAGGGACGAATTTTTTGTTCTTCAAAGGTTTATGTTCGCTTTTTGGCCCCAGATGTGGGATTTTTTTGGAAAATTCAAAAATGGGACCTAATCTATTAGAATAGTCTCCAAGATCTGTCTTTGTGATCCGAAATCCGAAAAATATGAAAAAATATGAAAGAAGTGCATGCTGTTCAGTGAATCGACAAAATATCAATAACTTTATGTCACATATAATGCCCATCTTGAGCCGTTTTACTTCTCAACTTACCGCAAAATAGCTCACGAGAAAACCATATATTGGCCATTTCGAGGAAAAATTCAAAGGGATTATGGTTGCCTCGTGATGCAAAAAAGATCGCTCCTATACACATCTCACTGCTCGTTAAAAAGTTGAAAAAAATCGAACATATGCCCTACTTTAATTGGAAGTCAATGTATCGAGGGCCCAACTCAGCCCACATCCAACAGGAAAGTGCACAGTAGAGTGATGAGAGCAAATATTTGTCAATAAACGGCTCATCATCGCTAAAGTTACATCATTTGACGTTAGTCGCCATATCTCCCGTTTTTTGGAACTAATTAAAGGTTGCACTTAAAACAAAGGTTTTTGGTGAAGGCAAACTTCAACACCATCCTGTGGTTTAAGCATAAAAGACGAGCAAGATGCTAATTTACTAAACGATTGTAATCAACAAGCCGTTGTTCGTTCGTTGTTCCAAACGGGGTCCAGGGGCTGTAAACTAGGCTAGACCAGCCCAGGCCAGAACCGGTCATAAGTAACAAAAATTCTTTAATGGATGTCAAACAATTGCAGAATGGATGTACTTGTAATACAATTTGACTTAGTAAATCTTTTTATGCATTAATGGGCAAGAAAGTCTGATTTTTCGACAACTATTTGTATTTCTTTCGTAAACATTTCCAAAAAGGGGTTGGATCTAGTTTTCAAGATCGATCAAGAACCGCGAGGCAAGAGTGACTGTGACTCCTTGTGACTTCCAGATAGCCTAAATATCTCTTTAAAATACTCAAATCCTTAGCCTTCCATCCTAAACAGCGCCCCAGGAGGCATGCGTTTGCATCAAATCACAAAAGTACCGAAACTAAATCGCTGCATGCACGCTGAATTACAGATGGCTCGTAGGTAGTCGTCATCCAAATGGTCTCAAGCCTTGCGAAGAGCTGACTTCAATGGTCCAAGACTTTTGTATGGGGTAGCACAAGCACTGGCCTTAAGAAGAAGAAGGAAATCAGAACGAGCTCTGATGGGAGTGGTTCGGTGTGCCGATTTTTGAGCTTTCCGAAGCCGCGTGCAACTGAGAATCACCAAAAAAATTCGTGATTTTTCGTGCTCTGCTTTGAATTTTCTTTTACCAAGTCTCCTTCTTCAAATTGAATATCTGTAGGAATACCATGTGTCAATTCACTTTTTATTTTGTTGCTTACAGATTCACACACGCATATATGCAGGAAAATCATTATAGTTGATAGTTGAAGAAAATACATCGTGTTCCTTCATTAATTCTAGAGCTCTTTTTTCCAGTTGTTTTCCAGTTATACCTACTTTTATTGTTTTTTTTTTGATTCTTGTAATATTACACTAACAACATTAGCAGATTTAGTAATATAATGGAGTTTTTTTCGTTATCTGTTTTTACATTTAACATTATACTATGATATACATATTATTTTGTTGTAAATTTAATATTGTATTAGTTAATTAAAAAATAAAAATGAAAAATTTTGTCCCTTTCTTTCCCCCCTGCTTCTTCTTGTTTTTGTTTGTCGAGTTTTCCCCATCTTTTTGACTTCACACCTCTAATGTTTTTCTTTCAACCATTGATGAGCTTATGTCATTTTTCGATGACAAATCATTGTATTTAAACATGTAAACAATTGCGTGCTCTCCACGATCCCTCGTCCCTCGAATCCCGTTCACGATCGTAGGAAAACCCTAAAACAAAAAATATCCAAGCCACTTTAAATCACATTTTTTTATAGCTTAACCTTTTAACAGCATTACTCTACGATTTTTAACATTAAATACTCACATGCTCTAAAACAGATCTTTAAAAAACTGACACTCTTATTACAAAGCAGCAGCAGCACGAAACCAAGAGAATCAAAAGGATCAAAGGGCGGCTTCTAAGCACATCGCATTTATTCACTACACATTTTAATAGCATTACGTCACGATTTTAACAATAACTCAACAAAACTGGTACTACAAGCACCATTGACACTCTTATTCGTGCTCTTTCACGTCCAGAGCAATGCAGGCATTTTATCCCTCAGGTTGTTGACAAAAAAATAAATATAGCTTACCTTTTGCCGATGTGAAAGTGCCTTTGTAAACATCCATGCCGGCGATTGAGACATTTTGGCGGACTACCCGTCAAGCGCAGACACACCTAAATTTATGTAATAAAAATTGAAATGGAGCAAATGAATGGAAAAAAACACACAAATCAACAAGATAAACAAAGTCTACAAATTTCTACAAAAAAAGACTTTTCAAATCATCAACGAGCAACTATAATTCTATGTCCTATACGACTAAAACAATTAATAAGCCGTAACATTGAAGTGAACCTCAATACAAACTTAATAAATTAAAGTTGAGCTCGATACTTCATAAAAATTCTCATCGTTTTCTATGAATCCGAGCGCGTCTCCTTATTACCATAGGCATTCGACAAGTATTGAGGGCTAAAATTTCAGAAATTAGCCACGGTTTCTGAAATGCTTCAGCTTAGCTTCACAAAATCGACTGCTTCTGTTTTGGGGCCCTTAAAAAAGAGCAAACTTTAGGTAAAACTGTTTGAAAGAGTCATTTAGTCATTTCGAAAAACCAATCTGCAACATGTCTTTTGTGCTTCAATTTCTAGCGCTAACTGGCCAAAAGTTACGTCAATTTCTCATTTTTCCTTCGCTCCCTAATCAGCAAATCTCCCTAATCAGCAAATTCCCATTTTTTCGTGAAAACTAGCCATTTTTACAAATATTCTAATCCTGTGCCATCCAGATCGACTGAATATCGCAAAATTTCTGGCCAACACCTATTCTTGAGCAGAATTTTCCGTCAAACTCATTCAGCGAGTTTTGGGTCCCTAATTCCCCTAATTTAGGCACAACGTTAACAAGTTAGTCCTACCGAACAACCGTGCCAAACGCATCAGAAATGATAAAATTTGTGTTCCCCTGTGTTCCTGACTCGAAAATCGCCATAAATGACACACTTCGATTTGAGGCACTCGTCAAATAGATTGGCTGAAAAAGCCGTTAAATAATTTTTTAATAAATACCGAATTCAATCTTGTGTAGTAGCCACCGACCCAAGTCGGACTGCCGCTATTGAGGTTTACACTTTGTGAGCATTTTCATGAAAATTGAATTTTGAAATTTATTTTTCATCGGCTATATATTTAACAAAACATTAAAAAAGCAAGACAGCGATTTTCGAAAAAATCAAAAGAAGAATTACTTGGCAGTACATTAACGTGTCAGAAATGGGATTAAAGTAAAAAGAATATTCCAGCACAAAAACAAAGTTCTCTTTTTCTTCTACTTAATATCTGTCTAATGTCAATGATAAGCTTTTCCCCGAAAAAGCTTATCCTTTGATTTTATCGAATTCACAAGTCATGAGTCTACCAGTGAATTGCTTTAAAAAGAAATTACACAACTTTTGACTAGATTCACCGGAGAGAGGCCTGATGTTGATGGTTCATTTGGAGTCTCATCTAGCGATCGTCTTCTCAATGGAACACGCTTCTGAGTTCGAAAAGGCGAGAAACGCCTATATTGCAAAAAAAATTTACTCTTAACGTATAGAATTAAGGTAACTTACTCTGTCTGAAGCGACCTAGCGTCATCCATCATTGAGACCAATGAACCTTGGGTTATGTTGGCTTCTGAGTGGAGACCCAAATCCGTTGCAAAACTAAATTAGAAAACTTGGATTCAGATCTACGATCAATAAATCATAAATCATTAAATGTTACATTTCTCGCGGTCCCCTTTCAGATGTCATTGGTGATGAGAAGGTCTTGTCTTGAGATATGTTGATGGCGAAACAAGACAAATCTTTGGCCACGTGTTGCGTACGTAGAAAACGCTTGGCCAAGTATTGTTCCTATAATTAAAATAGTAAAAATTAAATCAAGATGTTAAAGCATTTACGTAGAGGACGTTCCATTCACGTGGTGGCAATCCAGGTCGACGATTGTCACGCTGCAAACCTTCCAAAATGTGTTCCCATTCGGCAACGCGCACATCCTGTTCTTTCTTGAAATGCCCCCGTATATGGAAACGATTAATGAAGACCTGTTAAACAAAAAAAACTAAATTAAATCCACGATTAAAATGACTTACATTCCAATCATCTTCGGGCAGGCCAAAATGGTAATTATTGTTGTGTCGTCGATTCCCTGATTCGTCAATCTCATAAGTTTGACTTTCCTTGCGTACAAATTCTTCGAAGGGGTTCTCATTGCAAATTACCACAATTTGTGTGGCGAGGCAGGGCACCTTGCCGAATTTTACGTTCAAACTAAATAAAAACGATAATAAATAAAGTATCGCTTGACTAAAGGAACTCACATCGTTGGATCTCGACTGGCCAATTTCAAGAAATTCTCTAATTGCCACAGTGAATCATTTCTTGCTTTCCTTTTCGTGTCTCCTTCGCCTCTGGGCGCAAATCTGGTTGCCTCATCAAAAATGAGTACGTCCTCGTCACGGTAAGTTTGGTAGGAGCCATGCGTTACCAGACAATACGAGGCTTGTTCTCCTAAAAAAGGAGGATCATATCAAGCCACAAATTCATAAATAAAGACTAACCTTTTGCCATACAAAATTTTGCGAAGGTGGTTTTACCAGAACCCTTCGAACCATGTAGGAGCCAGAAATTTCGTTCGATCTCCTCGAAACTGTGCTTGTAGTGACTCGCTACCTGTAGAAGCGCACGGCCATGTTGATCCCATACCTGTAGTTGAGATAATGTGATCGTTCCGTTTATAATGAAATCTATAAAGGTACCTGCGGTGCAATCATTTCAACCTGATGAGCTGTGAAACCTTCTTTCAGCAGTCCCTCGCATCGCTGATAAGAAGCTCCACGTGCGACAAGCACTTGTTCTAATCCTAAAACTCAAAATTAACAATCAAGGCTATGGTCAATACAACCAACCATACGAACGCCAGAGAGGCATATTTTCTGGCGTTTGACTTGAGGGCAAGCTGGAGCTTTGTTGACGCTGCTTCAACGGGCTTGTATTAGCCAAAAATGAGCCAAGTGTAGCCTTAAAAAATAATAGTTAATAAGGCATACAGGTATGAATAGCTTACTTTTTTCAAGTTCAAATGGCCAATGTGTCGCTCGGTGACACGAAAGAGACCCCTCAAAGTTGGATCTTGTCCAAAGCGCGACTCTTTGTGTTTTAGGCTGCTCTCGAGTTTTTCCAGTAGAGACAAGAGTCGATCATGAAGTGTGTTTTTCACTCGATTCATCTCAAATCCCTCAACGCAATGGATCCAGGAAATTGCCCAGCGACACTCCGCGATTTCCGGAGTCACAACATTCGCATTGCTGACTCCAAGATTGTCGACCCTTAATCAATAAAAATATTATTTAGATTGTTAAAAGATTGTTGAATTAGGACGTCTATGGTTAGGACGTTTGATTGATTTGAAATGAGATCAAAATCTACAAAAAGATCACATTTAAAATGAGTCAAATTATATTTAATCGTGTAAACGCAAGTCACTCCAAAGTCTGACTTGAGCATTAGTAGCCAAGGACAGTTCTGATGGTCTTCCTTGAATTTTAAGCTTTAAAGCTTTAAAGCTTCTTTAGAAAATCTCATAATATATTGTAGTTGTGCCATTCAAAAAAATTTTAAAAATCGAAGTTGGGTGAAGCAACCGAGAATCGAACCCGGATAGTTTGGGCCGTAGACAAGCGCACTCCCGACTGCGCTACAGCAACGAACGTCCAGCCGGAAAAGCCCGCGATTAGGGGCTGAATATTCTCCGGGGCATCTCCATCGCCGTAGCGCAGTCGGGGGCGCGTTCGTATACGGCCCACACGAGCCGGGTTCGGCCCCCGTAGTGCCACTGAATTTTGATTTTTTAAGGTTTAATTTTAAATAGCACAACTACAATATACTCTAAGGTTTTCTAAAGAAGTTTTCGCTTTATTGGTCAAAACACGGCCGAGAAAATGCCCGTACAGACCGACAGCGAGACAAACAGACAGACACGGCTTTTTGATATATAGTAGATAATTTTAATGCTAGATCAAACCTTGGCAGTAGTGATCCTTTCAACGTCAAGCGCAAAGTTCAGCAGCGGCGTTTCTTGCTTGAAGATGTCGCGGTTGAGAGCAAACTTCTTTAGGATCTCCACACGTTTGTCAGGGTTGTTAATCTAGATTTTGAAAATATTCCTTCGATTTTTTGCTATTCAAACCGATTTCACACGATGTCCAATGCCAGGAATCAGTTTTCCTTGATGACGCATTTCATTGACAAATTGATGAGCACTTTGTTGTTTGTCGAATGCCTCCGTGAAAGTCTTTGCGGCTCCATCGGGTGCGCCACTGAAACGGTCGCCCTAAATTACAGTTGTTTTCTCATTGCTAATTGCTTGTTCTTGTACGGTAAGATTTCTAATATCACGTTAAACCAACAATTGTGAGCAATCCGGACACAAGCGATGAGCTGAGATCTTTGCCAGCTCTGGCGCAAACGATGTGTTGTGCGCTCCGGAGACGGCAGGTCCGTGATCAGCGGTGAGCATTAGGCAGATCTTGATGAACTTCGCATAATCGGGCAAACGTTTCTAAATTGGTAAATAAAAAGAAAAATGGTAAAGAAAACGGGTAAATTGAAGTGATGGCACGGACCAGAATTAGGTCAATAAAGTACTGGGGCAAACCTGGAACCAGAGAAGCAAGAGGACACCGCCAACACCCATCTCTTCTTCCAAGACTCGTGTAATCGGAACACTGGCGTAGAGAAGTTCCTGGAAATGGCAGTACATTAAAGATATTAGTTGGTTAACTTTAAGATCTACTTTGAATCAAAATATTCGGTTGAATACTAAGCCTTTCATCCAAATTCATTTTCTATTAAATAGGTCTTAAGCTACCAAATGAAATACGTTTTTTTTCATTAGATAGCCTCTTGCAAATGACGTTTGAAAGTTTCTGAAAAGGGAAGGTCAACTAGCTAAACCAACCAAATGCTATGCGACCTATGCCATTCAGAATTTTATGCTGATTCCGAATCTATTTTCCGTTTTTGCTAGATGACAAACTAACAGGAGTTATAAGCGTTTAAAGCTTTGTTAGGACTCTGAAAATGTAAGGATTTGGATCTTAGCGGCCTTCTTGCGAACTAGACTCGACGTGGCCGAGTGATGCAGCGTTGGTTTCCAGGGCGAGACCTCACAAGGTCGATCCCCAATTTGGATCTTTCTTTGGCTTTTTCAAGAAGTACTGACTCGTGTTCTTTGTGCGCGCTGTGTAGCTAACCCGAACTTCTCTTGGAGGATTTTGACCACAACTCCCGGTTCGGACTCTATTTCTAAAGTAAATTGTTAATATTCAACTATAAGTGAACTATTAACTAGTAAACTAAACTATTCTCAACGTTTAAAATCAAACTAGATGCTTGGAATTAATTCACGGGGGAGGTTACTGGCCTCCCCCTTGGGAATTGACAAACATTTGATGGCGATTGTTCAGCATTACCTTACGGCTTTATATATGGAAAACGATGTGCGAGATGGAAAGCGATTGTGCGCGCTCACTAGTTAGCACTTCTTGAAAAAAGAATCAAAAGACAAAACCCGCAGTAGGGATTGAACCTGTGAGGTAGGGCCTTGAAAACGAACGCTGTACCACTTGGGCACGGCTGCAGCGAATTGTGACCATTAAGGAGAGCATTAAGACCCAACCGCAAAAAGGCCGTTAAGACCCAAATGACCATATCTTAACAGTTCTGACAAAACTTTAAACGCTTATAGCTCCTGGTAGATTGTCATCTAGCCAAAACGGAATCAATATTCGGAATCAACATAAAATTCTGCGTCGACTGGTATAGGTCGCATAGCATTCGGCAGTTGCCCTTCCCTTGCTAGTACTCAACCAAATACATCACCTCTCCTCGCTCATCACAAATCGAGGTCATGAATGAAGCCGGTTTCCGAATGAGTCCAAGTTCTCGAGCCCATGAGTAGTCCATTGGGACAGCTGGCGGTGAGACTTCTTCCTTTGGAATGATCGTTCCATTGGAGACCAGTCTCTCATATTCCTTTCGAATCTCTTTTCCCAAATCATCGAACGAAGCGGAAACAATGGCTCCAGCTGCACGAAGAGCTGAATTCTTCGCTGCCGCCGTTTCTCCTTGAGCGTTTGCCGAGGCACCAGCATGACCAAATTGTACCTAAACATAGATAGAAAAAGATTAATTCGTAAAAAAACTTCTGAAGTGATATGGTCAGCACAGGTTCCAATGCACCATCCAACAATCAGCTTGGTGATTCGTTTGGCTTTTAGTGCTTCAACAATTTCGAAAGAAATTATTTTGGAAAAAAGATCAAAATGTAACTTTTATAATTAGATAACTGATTTGGAGGATCTAAAACTGGAAAACACTCATTCTCATGGTAGATCCAGAGCTTGCTTTTACGAAAAATTGTTACTTACTAGGTTACTGGAGGCCCATTAGAATTCTTTTTTGACCAGTACTAGATGGACTGGTACTAGGTACTGGTACTGGTACTAGTACTGGTACAAACAAACAAGACAGTTCTAGACCTAGTTCTTGAAACATCAAAATAGAAAAGAACTTGAAAAGCTGATAGTAGAAGTACAAAAACATTATCATTTAAATAAAAACACAGAAACAAAAAGAACAAAAATATAGCTGCTCAAGATTCTTGTTAAAGACTTAAAGATTGATAAATAGTTACAGAAAGAAAAAAAGGAGCAATAGAAGAAGAAGTTCTCGACAGCCTCTTTCTGCTCATGCAATTCAGCCCCTTAAATCAGTATCTCAAAGAAATTTGCACTCAACTGATAACACCAAAATTTATTTGGCTTAAAATCAAAGTGCAGTAAGTGTGGGTGAAGGGAATTTTCGTTTAGCAGTCAAAGAAGTGTCGAAGCAAGCATATCTACTGGATGCATTCAAAATCGGGGAAATAATAAATTTTTCTATTTGGGGCTACACCCCCAAGAGAGGGCAAAAACGCGACGCTTCACTCGACGGACTCTGAGACGCTTCGACGCCTCGCATAGGATCTGTCCCATGAATTCACGATCCCACAACTCCTGCGAACTTTGGCTGAAACCCGGCAGCACGGCTACCGTACTTTGTGGATCTGTTTTTTTTATTAGTTACTGAATGTTTAAAAGATTATAGGTCAAACCGGGATCTTACTAGTAAAAGCCACTCAATTTTCGCAAAGGGGCGATCCTAATCTTTCTTCTTTTTTGATTAAAGTAATGTATTCTTAAAAAGTAACGAACTGAAAACTTCGCATCTTTTTTTTTTATTTAAAAGTAGTCAACAAATTATCCCCTTTAGAAAACGAAAGTAACAAACTCTACAGAGACACAAAAGTGCACAGTTTATCTTGTTTTCCATAAAATTTAACTTGACAACAAACAACTATCCAATGATGAATTTTCGAGTTCTTTTCGAAATCGGTTTCAAAGTTTGTTTCATGAAGAAAATACTTCAGGTACTGAAGAGAAGCTTCTTGTTTTGGGGAAAAACCTTTCTAGACTGAAATTTGAACTCAAGATTTCTGAATTTCTAAACCGTTTTTAAAAAAAGATTCTATGATTAATAACTATATGGCTTTGAACTTTTTGTGATTCGATAAGGGTCTTTCTTAGATCTACTTTAGAGCTTTATGGGAACTTGTATTCAGAGTTTCCCGGAATTTTGGAAACCGTAATTTAACCCCCTCACTAGGGTAATAGTAAAAATTTACAGAAAAGTTAAATAGTTACAAAGTAAAGGAAAAAAGACACTCAGAGCAAAAGCTGAAGAAAGAGAGAATGAGGCCTTCTCTCACTTACTGGAAACCCCCTGGCTTTCGGCCTTTTTGAGCTGGGCATGGGAGTATTTGTGGTGCTGATTTTGATTGGGGTGGACGATCCCCGAGAAAACCCCTCCTGAATCTCATCGATCAATCATTCACCTGGGATTCTACAGCATCCCCATTGAACGCACACCGTTGCTGTAGCTCTAGATCGCCTACACACGAAAAAAATTTTCTTTCGGAAAGCTTGAAATGTAAACCTTCTAGCAATTTCTAGAGTTCAGCAAAGCGCTTTTTCTCTTCAATAAATTCTTCAGGTCATTACAAAGATGAAAAGAGAGAAAATAATAAAAAATGAAACTCGAGAATGGCAGTAAATTTGAGCCAAGGATTTCAGAGTTGGAAAAGAGATTTGAAAAAGAAAACCAAAAAATAATTGTTATTCGATCACAGCAGTCCTATTTCGCTTAAAGATTTCAATCTTTTTTTTTGTAAAATTTCTAAATGTTTAACGTTTGATTTACTGAAATTATTTCAAAATCGAAGCGAATTAGGGCCAATTATATGGGACTCACTTTTTGCGGTCGCTCTCTTTACACGACGCAATTCGCGCATCCATTCTTGGATTTGAAGATCTTGTGAAAGGCTTGCATCATGACTTCCATCCATTGCCATTTCCTAATTTAGTAACTATGCAATTACTAAGTCTCCTAATTACTTTAATATGGTTTTATATATTGGGTTGATGGAAAAGTCCTTGTTTTTGGGAGAGTACCTTAAATGTGTCCTATTTAGTTCCTTTCAGCTCCTTTAAAGCTCCTTTAAAGCTCCTTTAAAACTCCTTTAAAGCTCCTTTATAGTTCCTTTATAGTTCCTATTTAGTTCCTTTAAAGCTTCTTTAAAGCTCTTTTATAGTTCCTTTATAGCTCATCCTAA